GTAGTAACGCCAGTTTTCGTTATATTCTGACTTAGTAAGCCTGGCATGGTCTGGTGGTTAGGGCGTTCGACTCGAAATCTGGGTCATGGGTTTGAATACCGAACATGTTCGCCCTTTCAGTTGTAAAGGCGTTATAAGTGATAGTCAGCCCCATTTTTCGTTGGTAAATGAGTAGCCCAAGAGTTTGCGGTGGGTGGTGTTAACTAGTCGTCTTCTTTCTCTCTCTCTACTCTGTTACTTCTAAATTACAGATAGCCCTCGAGCAGCTTTATGCGAAATGCAACAAAACAAGCAAAGAAATTAGTAACAGTTAAAACTCAAGCCATTAATGTCTGGGATGACGCTAAAATGGAACAACAGTTTTTGGCCTCTTTACTGTTAGGCAAAAATAAATAACATTTAAAGGTTAAGTATATGGCTAACTCAGTTAAGCCTTCATAACTTTTGTTTTCAATTACTGAAGTTAAAAATATTAATATTATTCTTAAGTTTTATAATTATTTTAATTAAGTTTTAAGAGCACAATAGTTTGATAAAGTAGCTGAGATTGGGCAGGTTGTTGACGTTAGGCTGGATTTGTCTTGTTTGGAGTAGTGATTAGCAGTCTCAATCTCCAGGTCGTTATATTAAAAGTGCAATTCCTTCTTATACACAGAATAGAAAAAAAATAAATGAAAAATTAATAAGGAGCATATATACATATAAACAAAATAGGAATAGGTTGCTGCCGCCTGGTTGCATCCCTGTGGTTCTAAATTACGGACAGCACCATGCTACTTGAACTGTGTATTGTTAAATGTGATGGGACAGGACTCCATAATGAAGGGAGGGTAGTCGGTGCTAAAAAATCCTCTAGTGTGTTACCATAACCTCAGAAAGTAATACTAATGATAAAATTAAACTAGAAAGTTTGCAGTATTTCGCACAAAACTACTTGTGGGCTGTCTGCGTTAACCGTTCCTAATCTTGAAATGATAAACTAGAGGAAAAGCAGCTATCTAACACCAACTGTTTTTTCAACGAATAGTGGGATTGACTGATTTGTTATAACACCCCCACGGCTGAAAGGGCGAGCATTTTCGCTGATGGGATTCAAACCGTGACTCACCACCAAATCATGCCAGGCCCAACTAGGAAGTAAAACATATAGTATGTATAAACTATAACCTTAAAAAGAACAAAACGTAAATTATAAGTGGAAATTGTTCCAATATAAACTTGCATTCCAAAAGGTGTAGTAAATAAAGCTGAAAAATAAAATACAAGATGTAAATTTGGCAAGTGAACTTTGGAAAATATAAAACATAACTGAAAATTGTTAAATAAAATATAAAGTACAATTTTGGAAGGTGTAGTAAATAAATAAAGCTGAAAAATAAAATACAAGATGTAACTTTGGCAAGTGAACTTTGGAAAATATAAAACATAACTGAAAATTGTTAAATAAAATATAAAGTACAATTTTGGAAGGTGTAGTAAATAAATAAAGCTGAAGGATAAAATACAAGTTGTAAGTTAGTGTGAAACTAATATTGTAACTTTGATCGTATTTCTTTCTTCAAATGTTATGATTTTTTTTCCTGTTAAAATCTCATCATCTAGTTTTAGAAGTGTCATACGTTAGTTCTATATTTATTTTTACAAAAAAGAATGTGTTGTCAGTATAGGAAATGTAATAACACAGCGATGTCGATTCACCGTCTAAAACTTAACTTCTGCTCACAAGACACGCGTATAGAATGATTGTTTTGTTTTGAATTTCGCGCAAAGCTACACGAGGACTATCTGCGCTAGCCGTCCCTAATTTAGCAGTGTAAGACTAGAGGGAAGGCAGCTAGTCATCACCACCCACCGCCTACTCTTTTACCAACAAGTAGTGGGATTGACAGTCACATTATACCGCCCCCACGGCTGAAAGGGCGACCCTCAGATTGCGAGTCGAGCGCCCTAACCACCTGGCCATGCTGGGCCTCGTATAGAATGAAACGTACATATGATGGTTAAACCCACAACATTCCACACCTAAGTTGTATTTATCTGTCTGCAGCCAGTTGTGATCTATACTTTGGCAGTTACTTCTACCGCAAATGTATATATATCTTTTTTTCGTGTTGTTTAAATATACAAGATGTGTAAAGAATTGGGAATTTAAAAACCTCGAAGTAGGAATCGTAAAAAAAAAGTAAGCAAACATGACTGGAGATACTGTAGACATTATTTACTCAAACTACGAACCCCTATTTTGTATTTTTGATTCCATCAAATGAAACTTCAGACATTGTTGTGAAATATTTAACTGAAGTCTTTACAGAATATGATTTCAAAGTAAATTAGTTGCTTTCTGTGGTGATAATTCGAGCAGTAATTTTGAAGGGGCACAAAAAAAAAAGAGAATTAATAGCATTTTCAAGAAACTAAATGCTTTTTTTGGACAGAGATTTAATTGGTTTTGGATGTGGATCCCACATTGTACATAATGATATTCAGACTGTCAGCCTATTTATGTGGAAAATGTTCTTGTTAAGATTTATTCGTTTTTCTGTATCTATACTGTCAGAGTAGAAGAACTCAAAATATTTTGTGATTTTTTCGAGATTGAGTATAAACAACTATTAGGTTATAGTAAAACAAGGTGGTTGGCACTTATGTCTGCAATTGAAAGGTTTCTCCAGTTGTTCCCTGATTTAAATTCGTATTTTTTAAGTCAAAATAAATGTTCTTCTATACTGAAAAAACTTTTTTTCGAAAATCCATTTTCAGAAATCTGGCTCAACTTTGCGCACAGTCAAGCAGCAACCTCGCTTTCACCAAGTAAAAGGTATTCAACTATTGAAGTTTCGATGGTACTTAGTGATCTAAAACAAAATCTAGTTTCT